GATAACCAAAAAAGGGCAGGAAACGCAATAGTTAACCAGTCAAAAGTTATAGAGGCAAATCCACTGCCACCTGGGACCTCTTCCCAGAGGGCAGAACTTATTGCCCTTACAAGGGCTCTTACACTAGCAAAAGACAAGATTATAAATATATACACTGACTCAAAGTATACATTTAGCATTTTACACTCTTATGCCTCTATCTGGCAAGAATGGGGATTTATTACCACTCAGGGAACCCCCATCATTAATGCTCCCCTTATCATTAAACTTCTAGGGGCAGCCCAACTTCCAAAGCAGGTAGCAGTTATTCATTGTAGAGGACACCAAAACTCTACCTATTGCTCAAGGCAATGCCTTTGCAGATTCACAAGCCAAGTTAGCTGCACAAGGGCCCTGCCCTTCTCATCTTCTCCCATTAGTCCCAAGCAGTCTACCTCAGCCCAATTATTCACCAGAGCAGTTACAGCTACTTCATAAACCAGGTTACACACAAAACACTCAGGGATGGATTTTTCAGGGATCTAAACTTGTTCTCCCACATCAACAGGCCTCAGACATCATCACTGACTTACACAACTGTTTTAATATAGGATCACAGGCCCTACACAAACTCTTAGCCCCAATAGTCACACACCCTTCTCTAAAAGCTATCATTCTTAAGATTACTCACACCTGTGATCTCTATGCCAGGACCTCTCCTCAGGGACGTATGGCACCCCCTTCTTTTCCTACCCATCAGTTTCGGGGACACACCCCTGGTCAAGACTGGCAGATAGATTTTACACACATGCCCTGCCACAAGACTCTCAAATATCGTCTCACCTTTGTTTGTACCTTTTCAGGATGGATAGAAGCCTTTCCCACAACCAGGGAAACTGCTGATGTAGTTACCAAAATCATATTATAAGAAATCATTCCAAGGTTTGGTCTACCTCAGAGTATTCAGTCAGATAATGGTCCTGCCTTTATTTCTCAGATCACTCAACAGGTATCCTCGAGCTTACACATCACCTGGCACCTACACATCCCATACCATCCATAATCCTCAGGAAAAGTAGAAAAGGCAAATGGCCTCATAAAGACACACCTTACAAAACTCACTTTAGAACTACACCAACCTTGGCCTCAACTTTTGCCCTTAGCCTTACCCAAGCTCAGGGCACTTCCCCGGGCTCCTACTTTCTTAAGTCCTTTTGAACTTATGTATGGCAGGCCATTCTTACTCCACAATCTTCTTACTCCCCAAAATCTCCCTCCCCTGGCTGACTATGTCCCAGTCCTCTCCTTCCTCCGACACCTGTTGCAACAACATGCTGATCTCTGCCTTCCACAACCCTCTGGAGAGGCCAAACCAGATCCTCCCATATCCCCAGGAGATCTAATTTATCTCAAATGTTCTAAATCTGCAGGACTACAACCAAGATGCTGTGGCCCCTACCTGGTCTACTTGGCTACCCCTATAGTGGTCAGAGTTGCTGGACTCCCATCCTGGTTTCACATCACTCAGGCTAAGGGGTGCCCTCCCAGCCCTAAATCTGATCATTCTGAGTGGTCATCTCATCTTCTGTCGCTCACCCATCTCCCTTTCACGAAGGCCTCACAGCCACAGTTAACAGGCTAAGTCATGTTTTGTTATCCAATTTGGTTCCTAATTTCTTACGTTCTATTAATGATCATTTTTACAGCAGGACTCTTGACAGTCTTTCCTAGAGGCTCCCACATCATGCGTAAGATCATCTTCATAATGTTCTGTGATAACTGTCGTGGTTCTTTTTACCCTCAGCTGTCTGGTTAAACGTGACATCCCTGAAAGCCTAAGCCCTCACCTTCCCTATACTGGTACAGCCACCGCATCCCCTACTTCCCCTATTTTTTCCAGTTCAACTCCTAGGCCAGAGACAAGTTTTACACAATTACCCTCCTAACTTTTATGCTTTCAGATGGGGGAGTAATCACCTCTCATAATTTCACTCCTTCTAACCTCACACTTATTTTTCAGAATTCTACCTCACCGTGATAATGATCCTACTTCAACATCATCCTGATAAAATAACATGTCTAAATCAAAAGCACCTTTCCCTCTACCTCATCTGGGTCCTTAAATATGACAGTGCCATGTCTCCTCATAACATCATGTCTCTTTGTTTTTTTCCAGTCTAACATACGTGCATTCACCAGTGAAGTTGTCCTGGCTAAAACACCTGGCATCAGCATCTACCTGGGCATCAACCGTCATCCCGTCGACTACCCTAGGTTCCAGTACAGCGCCCCCTGCCAGCAGAAAGTAGTTAAAAAAGAAATCTTCACCCCTTTTCATAATAATCATAAGACGGGATATGAAAGGGTTGTTGGCCCAGATCGGACACTGTAGCCAGAAAAAGCCTCAGCCAGAATCAGGGAGCTCCAGTCTCCCCCACCCCTGGAGATTTACCTGTAACTCTATATCCCCTCACCATTTGGAATCTGCCCCTGGCACCAAACGTGTGCCAATGAAATACCTGTGCATGTCTAATGGCCTTAGGGCACTGCCCTAAGCTTAGGCTACTTATATTCCCCCACGCCACGTGTCCGAGAGAGAGACAGCCAAACTTCGGCAGCTGGGGTGCCAGTCATCTCTCTCTGTGTTCTCAGAATAAAGGCTTCTTTTTGTTTTATACTTCTCTGTTGGGAGCCGCGGCCGACACCGGTCGCCTTACTTGGCGGACGTAGGGCCTGTGGGTGGGAGCGGAGCCTGAGCTAGATTGCCCCTCCCATCGAGTGAGTCAAGTTGGCGCCTGCTTCCTGCCCCCTGATTGCGCTGGCGACTTAAACAACCCGCTCTGTAAGATAGTCTGCCTAGCAACAGCTGATGTTAGCCAGTCAGCCCGCATCGCGCGCTTTGAACTGATTGGCTACTGTTGCCCTATAAAAGTGAATGCCTCTCCCGCCACAGAGAAGCACAGAGAAAGCACAGAGAGAGATAGAGAAAGTCCACCGGCGAAAAAGGGCTGGTGGCAGAGAGGAGGCCTCTCGGGGCCCACGCGGAGACAAATAAAGGCAAGGTTGCACACCGTCAAAATCTGTCGCGTGTTCTTCCTGCAGGCCGGGAGCGACACCGACACTTCTCATCTTTTGGAAATACTTTTCATCTTTTGGAAATAATCCTATCATATTTCATTTATACTACTAATTTTTGTTTGTTGAACAGAAAGTTTTATCTTTTTATTTTTTTATTTCTTTTTTGACTATGACTTTCACTTTGAGTAACATTTTGGTCATTCTTTTAAGACCCTCACACACTGTGTATATACTACTATTACTCTATAATTATTTTTATTAAGTTTTGGTTTATATTTTCATAGAAGTAAAAAGAATTTTTATATTTACTTTATTAATATCTACTGCCTCTCATGGATAGCAAGAGCATTTTACTTCTTACCACATTTGCTTTTGCTTCCTCATATCAAGGTAGCGAATGCACTACGAAATGTAAATGCGGTGACAGTATTTTCAATGAATACATACTATTTTTCCTGTCATGTGAGCTGAGGTTAAAGTCATTTTTTTCTCCTGTTGGGATAACAGAAAGCCCAATAAACATTGGGAGGCTTGGAAAGACAGCAAATATTTCCTCATAAAGTAAATATCTTCATAAGTCTCAAAGATCTTTAAAAAATGTACAATGTTCAGTCAACATGGTGACCACCAGAGCTTTGATTCATACAGTCAATGAGTGCTTATTCAGGACTTGTTACTTATCTCAGGCAACTATTAGACAGTGTAAGTAAGTGCACCAGACTTGACAAATGGTCATTCTTTGAGCAGTAGTTGTGAGCGAGCTGATCTGGTCTAGAGGTTCTTCAAGAAACCAGATCTTGAATCTGTTAAATCAGATACAATAGATCAGAGTCAAAGTTCACTGAATTTGGTTGTCACCCACAAACAGTCTCTGTTTTATGTTTTTCTGACCACCGGCTTTCAGTTGTGATCTCTCCCAAACTCTGGGAATGGAGGACACACTGTGAAAAGGTTAGTGCATTTGAACTAAATGTATACATAGTTATTAAGATCTGAAGCAAGGTATAGGGAGAAAACAAACTGAAATCCAAGAAAAAAGGTGATAAATTGTCTGGGGGTGGATATTCAATTGGTGGATAGGAACTTGTTTATTTCATGAACAATATGATAGGATACAGGTTTTGTAGTGTGACCTTGTATCCTTTTTGTGTGACACTGATTGTAGTGTCCTATTCAGTCCCCATTTAATATGTGGGTCTTCTACTTTTTTTTCTTTTCTTGTAATTTTGACTTTAGTTGTTTCTTTCTTTGCCAGCACAGTTGAGTGTGGAACTTTTCAAATGGACCATTACCTTCCTGTGAGTAGGCCGTCCTTAAACCAAGACTTCATCTCCAATTTTGGCACCAAAATAAGATGTAAATATTCTTACCTCCAAACTGTGATGCATCTCTTTTCTCTGAGCACACATACTCTATGCTTAGTTGTATACTTACATTTCTACATGATTTCTACCTAATAAACTTTTGTCCTGTCTCTTGCTGGTATTTTTTGAATTTTTTCATGATACGAATCAGCAAACCTGCAGATCTATGTGGGTTGGGTGAGCTAGGTTCCTTCATTCAGCCTCAGGAACCTCCTGGGACCCTGTCTAGTAACAAATGTTAATCCCTCTTAACATCCTCATCACATCCCATAAGCCTCACCTCTTAAAGAGTGCCGTATAATTCAGTATCATGGAACCCAAAACTACAGTAAATGAACCTGTGGACCACACAAATTAAAACATAACTAACCACAGTCCTCTATCCAAGACTTCTTTCCATTGCAAAATACAGACAATACAATTTGTTTTGCATAATTGTAGTCAGAACAATATTTATATGTAATATAAGAAATAATTATAAAATAACATACAAATCATACAGTTATTTTTATAACTATTCACTCAGCAAACATACAAATGTAACATAGAAAAATAGTCCAAAAAGATTTGAGATCAAAGTTGTTTCACATTGCACTAAGATTTAATACATTTGAAGATGCTTGTCTGTGTATCAATGTCTGCAAAAGCATGGGAATAATTTTTCATAAGATTTAGGGTATGCACTGTATGGGAAGTAGTCAACCCTGAGTCTGAAACACCTGTGCAAAACAGGCAATGCCCTCTAGAATATAGCTAAGTGTAACTACCATGAACAGAGGGATCCTCAAAGTGCAAGATGTGTCCTTTCCATCACTAAGTGTATCTCAAAAAGAATAACCAGCTCTACTCTGAGTGGGTCTGTTATTTGACAACATAGGATTAAATACATGATATGGTACCCTCTCATTCTATGATGTAAAATCTGATGCCCAGTCTTAAAAACCATTCCAGTATATTATATACCAAAAATTCCTATTTTTGCTGTTTCAGGCAGCAACCAGAGAATTCAACATTTGAATTTTGTCCTTTTCCTTGTATGAAGACGCTCTTTCAGAGAATGAAATGCTTTATTTATGAACCATGCACTGAGAAGAAGAAGCTTTTCCAGGTTGAGATACTGCAAAATGACGATCTGCATCCTGAGTTTGTACAAGCTGAATCTGTTCCCACATTTTTAGTCACTTCACAGCCAAGACTCAGCACAGAGGCATCAAAGTCAGTGGACCTCGTGAGAATCTACTGAAGTCTTTTCCTTCGACTCTGTGGGAAGTGTAAGGAACACATGAGTCTCCTTGTAGTACCAATGCTGACAAAATTATAAGTAACTGAAAAATTTATAAATTTTTTTATAATTAAATAATATATTTAAAAATTTATAAATTATAAATTTTCATCTACCAGAGGTGTGTATTTTTCATAAGAGGTTTACTGTCATATAGGGGAAAACTAGCAAAAAAAGAAAAAAAAGTTTAAGCTATACATCTTACGATGTCAGGAATTGGCTCCATCCAATCCGATGACAGGGGAGAAGTACACCGTAGCTTCAGAAGGACATTTAAAATTCTCTGCTTTGCTCTCTGCAGGCTCCAGCTAACTCAGTGGTACATTCCCAGCTGAGAGTAACCCTTCACTGACTCAAATGCCTGTCTTTCTGAATGGAAACTCAGAGACACAACCAAAATAATGCTTTGCTACTTCATTTAATCCTAATAATGTCAACTTTATATCTTAACTTTTTTTATTTTAAATGGGTAAAACTAAGAAACATAAAACTAATCAAAACAAACCAGTGTAAGTGACACAGGACTTTAAAACAACACAAATCAACAATAGTTACCATAATGGCTCTTGCTGTGCTCAAAATAGCTTCAGATATCCTCAGACATATACGAAATCAAACAGAACAGACCAGAAATGAATCAATAAAACAAAACAATGAAGACAATAAAGGGCTTCAAATCTTAGCAATAGTAAACCTAAAATGGCTACCATATCTCCTTTGAAGGTGGTAGACATTTTTAATTTTCTTGCTTTGAAGACCTGTATCATTTTCATGGCATTGTTGGGTTGAGTTTTGTGATTTTTTAAAATTTATTTTGTTACATCTGGTGGCAAGAGCAGCTATTTCAAAGATAGCAAGCTATATTTTGATATCTAAATAAATTTTGATATCTCACACCACAATGATTATATTTCTCTGATTAGTACACATTTATAGTACTTAATACCTAAGTTCTTTGTGAAGAACTGTTACCTACACATAATGCATCTTAATTTGTTTTTTTTATAATTTTCAATCTCTTGTCTTCCTCCTCACTTCACTTCTTGATCTATTCTGTTTTTTGTAGATGTTTGTAGCACATAATGTTTACACTTTTTATGTTGACTAGGTACATTTACATAACACATCTTAGTTCTGTTTTTCATCTCCTTTCACTCCTCCTCCCTTCATCTTTTGATCATCTTCCCATTTGAGAAAGATCTATCTTCCTTTTTAATATTGCCTATTTTATTTTATTAGTTATGCCTTGAGTTTCTCATATAAAAGGAACTATTATTTGGGCAAGGGCATCTAATTTACTTCATATGATCTATAGCATGTCCATTTTCCTACAATTGTCTCATTTGTCTTCCATTATGGCAGGGTAGTACTCAATTGTAAGCAGATATCCCATTTTTCTTAACATTTGGACATGTAGATTGTTTTAAGACCTATTATATATTGTGCTGCTATAACCATGGATAACTATGACTCACTCTAATATGATGTCATTAACTATTTTAGGAAGATACCCAGAAAGGGAATAGCTGGGGCAAATGGAATTTCTAATTTCATTTTTTTTGAGGGATCTATGTACTTATTTCTATAATGGTTATAATAGTTTAGATTCCCATCAATGATCCAGAAAGACTTTTTCTGACAACTACCTTGATACAAAAAAAAAAAAACACTCCACATCTTAAGTATACAGTCTGTGTGTCATTTGGATGATGTATTTGGAACAATCTTTGAAAGCAGTAAACATATATATTAAACTTTTAATTAATATGATCTCAAGTGCATATTATATTCTTAAAAGATTCCATGGACTGCAAATTAATCAATAGGAAAGGGAAGAAATGTAGCTTCTACATGATCAGCTGGCTAAGTTGAAGCTAATGTTCTCTTTAGGCAAAAGAATGTGACTGATTCTGGCTGAGGTGCTGATGATCTCAGAATAGCACTGTGGGTCAGAAATGCCTCCTACTGATGGCTGCAACAGAGGCTTAATGAAGAGCCTGTGAAGTTCCAGGGCCAGAACCTGAGATAGCCTCAGCTGAGGCCATGGCACTCAAAAAAAAATTATATCTTCCTGGAAGTAAAGATGTCATTCTTGCATACATCAAGTTTGCATTATACTTCTAAATGGAGGGTCTCTGCCTGAAGTAGAAGTGCTCTGTTTCTGCTTTTAGCCATGCCTGCCAAGTTTCTCTTCCCTAGCACTCTCTGAGAACCACAGCACATTCTTGTTTGGTGCCAATAAAAACCTTGAGCTCCTGTACTCATGGCTCTTTACTCCACTTAGAGCATTGGTCATCTGAGAGCCCCTTCAACTTCAGATCCTTCTCTTTTTTTCTTTCTTTTCAGCCATGTGCCATATTGCCAGGTGAGACATTGACAACCTCTGCAGGTTGTCTTTCTTGTCAGACATGTGCCAGTTTTCCAGGTGGCACATTGACAACCTCTGCAGGGTTTTGGGATGCTTTCACTTTCCATCTGACTGAGTCTAACATGAGGATATTTTCAAGTTGTCGTCAGTCAATCCTAGAAATTTCATTCATGTGTAAAAATGGAGAAGACCTGGGACTTATATTTACTAGAGGACTATTCAAACATAGGAACAAAAAGGAGGAAACATATATGATTAGAAAACTTTAGCTCATTTGCAAATGAATCAAATTTAAACATCTTTCAACACACTGACTCATCATTTCAGGAAACCATAAATCAACTGTTATCAGGAAGTTGAGCTCTGACAAACTGCTATTAAACCACAACTTTAAACTATATTTACTGGTCTGAAAAACACAGATAACACCTACATCATAAGTACACATGGAAGAGAATGTAATAACATTTGGAAATAATATAGCACACCACTTGCCAAAGAATAGACACCAAGGCCATTTTATTTATTATTACAATGACTGAGGCTCCCTTACCTCAAAGGAGTTATGTGATGAAATTGAAACACAACAAAAATTAGCATATAAAAACATGGCCTTGTTCAACAGGAATCAAGATTTGCTATATTAACGTGTATCATTTCTGGGGATTTAGCTCAGCAGCATAAGTGCCTGCCTGGCAAATGTGGGATCATAATTTTGAACCCCAGTACCAACCAAACAAAACAAAAAAGCCACATGTATCATTTACTCTGTCATTTGAGGTGAGGTTTAAAGCATGTATCAACCTGTTTCAAATGAATACTATAAAGAGTGGAAGGGACTAGAATATTTCATGAAACAAATTTTATAATATATCCAAAATTGCTTAAAAAAATAGTATAATTTTTTATAACATGAGTACTTACAGAGTTTCAATTCAATCCACAAGCACTCATCAAACTTGTTATTTGTCTAATGCAGACAGAAGCCAGTGTTGTTCAGTAGATTTCAAAAATAGTCCCTTCTTGAACAATGGTTTTGAGCATCTGACATCCCTACCAACTAGGCCTGGAATCTAAAAAAACATAATTGATCAGAATCTTTTTAAAATTCTCAACATTTCTTTACCAGCACAAACAGTATCTGGTATATATTTTCTTGACTTTTGTTGTTTACCTGTAACCTCTCCCATAATCTAGGAATGGAGAGTTCACAAGGAAATTGTCAATGCACTTTAACTCACTTCACAGGTCTCATTACAACCTGGAGCAGGATACAGGGAGAAAGCAAACTGAAAGGAAAGCAAAGACGAAAAGCCTTTAATTTGGGGTGCATCTTCAGATTGTATTCTAAGAATTTGTCATTGGAGCTTAATTTGCTGTGATACTGTTTCTACACCATGTATTTGCTAAGCAGTTAATATTTAAATAGTGAAGGAATTCCTGTAACTCAGTAGCAAAACCACCCAAATAATCCATTTGAAAATGAGCAAGCAACTCCAATATACTTTCATTGTGTTTATTACAAGACAAACATCATAAGAACTAAAAAAATATAGAGATCAAATAGAAACTTGAGTCACTTCAATCCAGTCACCCATTGATTTGGATTAGAGATACCACCCTTTTTTAGCTTTCATATTAATTGGTATGGCTGGTTCACATAAATAGAAATAGAGAAACAATTTAGTTTCCTTACACTTAAATTCAATAAAAGACAAATCATATTTGGACTAAACCTCAACAGATGAAAAATGCGTGTAAATGTAAAAAACCCACATTACTACAGTTAAATAAAGACCATTTCTTATTAATAAAACTATTACTAACAGTACATCCATTCTTTCAAATTCAGTCTTATCAATATCAGTGCAGCCTTCTATCAAGATTTCACAGTTTGGAGAGTATAATTTAAAGCAAGCAATATTTGGAAAGAGGAATAATAATGCTCCAATTTGAAAAATCCAAAAACACACAACTGAGAGTTGTCAGACACAGAATGAAATATATTAAGCAGCTCGGCTAGAGTTAGGATATAGTTTCTTTCCCAATGATATGTGCAGTGAAAGCATGGTCTCCAGTGTGCTGATACTGAGGTAGTGGGAACTTAGGAGGTGAGGAAGGCTTAGAAGAACTTAGATCAATAGTGATTGAAGGGGATTGGATATTTCTTTGGAGCCCTGATTCATTCTTATTTTCTTGTTTTTTATTTTTCTTTTTCTGATTCATTTTTACAAGATGATTGTTTCTTAAAACCTGGGTGTGGTCCTGTCCAGTTCTATGCCTTGCCATTTGAAATGAGATCCATTATTCACAGACATTCTCTTTCCATTGCAGTCTGATATGAAATGATGCAGCCAGTAAAGGGTGGAGAAGGAGCTTTTAGGCATGTGCATAATGCAGTTTGGAATTGCAGCTTCCCAAACTATGGGATAAATAAACAGCTCTTCTTCAGAAGCAGCCTGCCTTGTTATGTTAACGGAAAACTGACTCTCACTGCCAGTTTTAATGTCACATTGCAAAATTTAGCAACATTCCACATATTGCTGTACTAATTAGGGCAAGTTAAAGTCTATGAAGATGAATCCCAGTTGCTTAATAAAAGAGCGATTGATTTATTTATGGCTCCTGTACAAATTGGTAGGATTAAATCCCCCTGCACCACAGACATTCTTTGAGACTCAGGACACTTTCATCTTTGGCCTGATCAAATGTTATGTCACTCATATTGTTAATATGTAACTTTCATTGATCCAAAATATTCCATCCAAAAGTGTTTGACATTTCACCATCACTGTCACACTCTGAGCTAGGTAGCTGGAGGGAATGTCATTTTGCAAACTGCACTTCTCAGGCTGAGGCTCACATGGCAGTGCCAAGATAATAGGCCATGAGACACAGCTGATCACTTTTTAATTGAATTCAAAGACAAAATTTTCATTTCATGACTCAGAGACCGAAAAGCTCCACATTTATCATAGGAAATTGTTAGCTTAAACATAGTTTAAAAAACAGGTGACAAGGTGCTATTGTGTTAACAAAGTTACTCAATATCAAGCAAGTGTATATATATCGCAGTGAGGCACACAAAGTAAACCTCATTTTCACTGAGAGAAATGTATTGACCACAAGACTCAAAAAATGCATTGCCTTATTTCAGAAAAACAAGCTTAAATATTGCATGGTGTCTTTTACAGGAGAAACATGTGTCTGGAGGTCAAATAGAAGATAAATAGCAAATATATAGAAGGTCCAATAATTCCACAAATTGTCTATTCTGTTGTTTAAAAAATATTTAAGATATATATATAACAAATTTGTTTCGTTTATATGACTAGTTTCCTTTTGTTAGTTTCAAAGAAAGTTTTATTTGTTTATTTCTAGAATTTTTACTTTGGTGACACATTGGCCATTATTTTAAGACCCCATATTCTGAATAAACCATTGCTTTTCTCTCATTATTTTGTTACAAAATTTTGTTTTATGTTTTCATATAAGTAAAAAGTGCTTTTAAAAATTGCTTTATTAATATCTACCTGTGTTGCATTAAAATAAAACTTTAAAATGTACTAGAAAAGAACTGAGTACCATTTGCATAATAGTTACAAGTGAGACATGTTTCTGATAATGTTCTGAGCTTATTAAAATGAAAACAACAGCTGGCAAATAGATAAACAAATAAGAGCAACCACTTGATAAATATTGAATTCTTAAAAGTAATTATTTACTTATTTTTGCTTTCTCTTTCTCTTTTTCTTTTCTTCCTTTTATTTTTTATTTTTATTTTTTTTTCGTACCCAGAATTGAAAGCAGGCTCTTGCATTTGCCAGGCAGGTTCTTGTATTAAAAATACTTACTATAATAGATGTCATACTAAATTCTTAACATTTAAGTGTTTCAAACATTCACTTTTCCCACCATAGCTCTATTGAAGTATCTGCTTCTTGCTTCCAGCTACCTGCTCCACTCTAGGCTTTGCTATGATTACGAGGGCCCAGGTGGTCACAATATAAAGCCATTAAGGAACTTAATGTAAATTAATTTTAACTCACTCTTTGATCACTTCAGGAAATCTTTAAATCGATGACTTAAGTATAACTGCTAAAAGATAAAGAAAAAATCTGCTCACTTCATTATAATTAACCGTAAGCTGCTTATCCTGGGATGTTTTATTCTCTGTGTTCCAGAGCTCAGGCAGCACTGATAGAGTCCAGCAGGGCTCTGTCCACAGCCCTTACCAGTCAGCCTGAGGCTGCTGCTACTGTGAATTAAAAGTCAGGGGTGCACGCTTGTGAGGCCCCAGTTGTGTCTGGCTGTCACCAGCCTGCTCTCACTGGCAAAGTCTGAGATTCTCCAGATCTAAAGCCAGACACAGAACCCAGGGCATCAGACACAGGCAACTGACAATCCTGTCCTTCCCTCAATTGCTAGTTTGCACAAGAAATCAAGTCAAGCTGAAGAAAAATTTGCATGATAGGAATACACACAAAAAATGAACATACCTATTCCAGCACACTAAGCAAAGTTCTCAGTTGACTCTCATCCCCTCCTGTTTCTCTTTCTACTTGTTTGTCTCTCCTTATATTAACCAAAATAGAAAGAGAAAGTAGAGAAAGAAGAAAAAAAAATCCCTGAAAGTTAAATGTACCACACATGTGTTGCTAAAATTGAAAGCAAATTATTACCCAATTTTACTGATTGCTAGCATAGGCATGTCTGAAATATTTGACCAAGTTTGAGTGTGGATGTTTGCAGCAGAGATGAGAAGTCAGAAAGCCCACAGATACTGCATGGTGCTATTCCAGTCAATGCATCGTGTGCTAGCTTTTGTCCTGCTTGTGTTGGAAGACTTCCACAGTATCAATTCCAAAACTGAATATCTACTTCTAAAGTTGTTTGAGTCAAACAGCATGAAAAATCCTTATTTTGAACAGGAGTAGAATTATCAACTAAGAGTTTTCTCTCATTTGTCTTATTTCTAAGTTTTTGATTACCTGCCTGAGTACTTGGCCTATTCATTCAGTTGCCTATACTAGCAATTGTCTAACATCCAACAATGTAGCTCGTAGTTTTGCCCATAGCTCACAGATAAGCCAGAGGTAAATAAGCAGTGACAGAATAGAGCCAGCTATTATCACAGAAGTGTCTGGCTTGATTAGGGGATTTCTGTCTTGGTCCACTGATGCATGGAAATGATCAAGGAAGTGATTACATGATACAGTGAGTCCAGCTAGCCTGCATGGGGTGGGCCAAGGTGAAGTTTACAAGATATATAAACTGACCATGACATTGGAATTTGAATGGAAATATAGAAAACTTTTTATAATAATGATATTAAAAGATATAAAAAGAGTTTTGAAACCCAAGTATGGTGACACACATCTATATTCCTAATTCTTAAGAGGCTAAGGCAGGAGGATCTCAGATTTACAGGCAATCAGGACACTACAGCAAGACTCTGTCTCAAAAACAACCCAAAAAGAGTTTTTCTAAACAGAACACAATCATGCCCTGAAATGAAAGGAATGAACTAAAAATATCATTTGTGACTCAGTTTGTATGCAGTATAATCTGAGTCTTGGTGAAACTTCACAAAGTGAACCTAACTTTCACTGAGAGCAATGTGTGGATCACAACATTCAAAACAAAGTATGGTCTTATTTCAGAATATGAAGGTTAAATATTGCATGGTGTCTCTTTCAAGAGAAATTTTGTATATAGATATTATATGTAAACAAATATATATTTATAAAATATATAAAAATATAAAAATATATTGCATATAAATATATGTGATATATATAATATCTATATGCATACATATGGGAGCAAAATAGAAGATAAATAGAAAGTAGAAAAAAGTTCCAATAATACCACAAATTACCTGCCCTGTCATTTCAAAAAATTTTTAACATATATGTTAGTTGATTTCATTCATACTAGTAATTTTTATTTGTTGAACAGAAAGTTTTATCTTTTTATTTGCTTATTTCTTCTTTGTCTATGACTTTTACTTTGAGTAACATTTTGGTCATTCATTTAAGACCTTCACACACTGTGTATATACTATTACTCTATAATTGTTTTTTATTAAATTTTGTTTTAGTTTTTCATAGAAGTAAAAAGAGTTCTTTTTATACTTATTTTATTAATATCTACTGATAGTGGAATATCTCTGCAAGCAGGGAGGGATCGCAGGTTCCTGAGGCACCTCGGCCTTGATGAGTGCTCAGCACACTCTGCCCAAATCTCAGACTGTTCCGGACCCCCCAGGCTTCTGGGTGCAGTGAAGTGGAGCAGTGGTTAGAAACCACTACATCTGCCTCCCCATCCCGGCTACACTTGGAGGTCTGCTGAGCTCCCGACGGGTGGGCGGGCCTACACTATCCCCCGAGCCCAGCCGCGCCTAGCCATCGGTGTGCAGAGGAGGAGCTGGGCAGATCTGGAGTGCCTGCAGAAGCCCCTTCCTTTGTCTGGAGGACTGAATATCTCTGCAAGCAGGGAAGGATCACAGGTTCCTGAGGCACCTTGGCCTGTGGTGAGTGCTCAGCACAGTCTGCCCAAATCTCAGACTGTTCCGGACCCCCCAGGCTTCTGGGTGCAGTGAAGTGGAGCAGTGGGTTAGAGGCCACTACATCTGCCTCCCCATCCCGGCTACACTTGGAGGTTTGCTGAGCTCCCGAAGGGTGGGCGGGCCTACACTATCCCCCAAGCCCAGCCGCGCCTAGCCATCGGTGTGCAGAGGAGGAGCTGGGCGGATCTGGAGTGCCTGCAGAAGCTCCTTCCTTTGTCTGGAGGACTGAATATCTCTGCAAGCAGGGAGGGATCACAGGCTCCTGAGGCACTGCGGCCTGTGGTAAGTACCCTAACCCGGCTGCGATTGAAGAGCTGTGGAGCTTCCAAGGGGCAGGTGGGCACACAGTGTCCCTGAGGCCCAGCTTGTCTGGAACTGCGGAGTTCTGAACAAGCAGAGGAGGGCCATTGGTTCTGCAGGCCCAATGGCTTGGGGTAGGGTGGTGCCAGAGTCTCAGTAGCTGCAAACATAGAAGGGGATTTTCAACAGATCCTGAGGAAGCTTTCAAATAACACTTGAAACACAGAAATATAGGAAAATGACAAAACAAAAGACCAAATTACAACCTCAAACCTCCAGCCCATCTCAGGAAACCCTAGGAGGAATGTATTTAGAAGAAAATATATCCCATCCACCTCATATATCAGACACAATAGCTACTGAAGTTGACAAGCAACTCCAGGAAGCTTTAAAGAAATTCAAACTCGAAATAATTTCCCAGATAAAAGAAGAAATGATAAAAGAAATGAAAGAGATTCTAAATATATCTAAAGAAAACACAGATAAAAAATTGGAGGAACTAAACAAAAAGATAGAATCCCTAGACGAGCAATATAAGAAACAAACAGAATACATAATGCAGATGCACAGAGATATACAGGAAATAAAAAACTCCACTGAAAGTTGTAAAAACCGCCTTAATGAAAGTGAAGATAGAATTTCAGACCTTGAAGACAGGATTGCAGCTAATGAACAGGAAAGGAAAGATCTTTTAAAAATAACAAGGAATCAGGAAACAACAATTCAACAACTGCAAGACGATGCAAAGAAGAATAACATAAGAATCATAGGGATTAATGAAAAAGAAGGAGACAACATAAAGGATATCAAGAGGATATTTAGAGAAGTAATAGCTGAAAATTTCCCAAGCATGAGATCAGAAACTGACATCAGGATCAGTGAAGCATATAGAACTCCAAATAGTCATAACCAAAATAAAACTACACCCAGACATATAATAATCACAATCCCAGAAATCCAACACAAGAATAGATTATTAAAAGCTGTCAGAGAGAAAAGACAGATCACTTATAAAGGAAAACCTATCAGAATCACAGCAGACTTCTCAACACAAACAATAAAGTCAAGAAGAGCATGGAGTGAAGTATTCCAGATCCTAAAGCAAAATGATTTCCAACCTAGACTGATATATCCTGCAAAACTATCATTCAAAATAGATGGTGAAATACGATACTTCCATGACAAAGAACAGCTGAAGAACTTCATGAACACCAAACCAACCCTACAAAAAATATTGAAAGACAGTTTAGATACACAAAGGAAAAAACCACTAAGCAAAGCAAATAATTAAACAGAACAGAAAGATAAAGATGCAACAGCAGAGAGATAAGTTTCCTACAATTAACCAGCATTTAACAGTAATAACTATTTTTTTTTTCTTTTTCCTTTTTTTATCGGTACCGGGGATCGAACTCATGACTGCCTGCTTCCAAGGCAGGCGCTTATGCCGCTGAGCTAAATCTCCAGCCCCAACAGTAATAACTATTAATGTAAATGGTCTCAATGCACCAATCAAAAGAAACAGACTAGCAGAATGGATCAAGAAACAAAATCAAACCATATGCTGTTTACAGGAAACCCATCTAACCCAGAAGGATACTCACAGACTGAAAGTCAAAGGATGGAAAACAATTCTTCACGCAGCAGGAATCCAAAAAAAGGCAGGAATAGCCATTCTGTTTGCAGACAACGTGAACTTTAAACCAACAATGATCATAAAGGATAAAGAAGGTCACTACATACTCATAAGGGGAAAACTCCAAGAGGAAGAGATAACTATCTTAAATATATACGCACCAAACTCCAGAGCACCCAGTTATATAAAACAATTATTAACAGAAATGACAACTCAAATTATCAGTAACACAATTGTAACAGGAGACCTTAATATGCCATTGACACCAAGGGACAGATCAACCAGACAGAAAATGAGCAAAGAAATAACAGAACTGAATCATACCTGTGAACAAATGGGTTTGATAGACATATACAGAATGTTCCACCCAACAACATCAGAATACACATTCTTCTCAGCAGTACATGGATCATTTTCTAAAATAGACCATATATTAGCTCACAGAACATATTTAAACAAGTGCAAAAGAGCTGAAATCATCCCTTGCATGTTATCGGATCATAGCGCTCTGAAATTAGAAATTAATGATAAAGGATACTGCAAAAATCCCACAAACACATGGAAACTGAATAACACACTCTTGAGTAATCAGTGGGTCACAGAAGAAATTAAAGAAGAAATTAAACAATACCTAAAAGAAAATGAAAATGCAGATACAACTTACCAGAATCTGTGGGATGCAATGAAAGCCGTCCTGAGAGGAAAATTTATTGCACTGAGTTCCCACATCATGAAAACAGAACGAATACACATAAATAACTTGATGCTACACCTCAAACAGCTAGAAAAAGAAGAGCAAGTCAAGCCCAAAGCCAAAAGAAGAGAGGAAATTATAAAAATCAGAGCAGAAATCAATGCATTAGAGACTAAGAAAACAATCCAAAGAATCAATGAATCAAAGAGTTGGTTCTTTGAAAGAATAAATAAAATCGATAAGCCCCTAGCCAACCTTATTTAAAAAAGGGAAGAAAAAGCTCAAATTCATGCAATAAGAAATGAAAAAGGAGAAATCACTACAGACCCAATAGAAATACAGAAGATCATCAAAACCTATTTCGAAAACCTCTACTCT